TGATACCTAAGCAAACACACGTGTTTGGTCCCACAGGAGCACAGTCATTCCCAAATCCTCATCCAATTAGCCGGGAGGCTCACAGCTCTGCTGCTCCACACTCTCTGCTCCACGTAATTGAAACCCCATCAGGGAAAGCTTCATTAAGGCACTTAATTGGGCCTAAGTGGTTCACCCTGCTCTGACAGCGCTTAAATGCAGTGACTTATGAACTGCTGCTCAGCCAGCAGCCACTGGCTTTGTGCCCGGGCATCCCCAGCAAACCTGACCCCATGATTCTGTCCCACAGCGTGGAATCATGGAAGTGTCCAGGTTGGAAAAGACCTGTAATATCATTGAGCCCACCTGTTAACCCAAATCCCAACAGCAGAGAGCTCCCAGCTGCCTCCCTGAAGGGCGTGAGGGATGTGGGAGCTCGGGGGGCAGCGGGTCACAGGCAGCTCGAGAGAGTCAATCTGCTGAAATTAGAACTGATGGAAGTGGCTCTCTCCAGCCTTTGATCGGCTCCAATAATTTCTAGATGTGACTGTGGGGCCAAAGGCCAGTCCCAGCACACCCAAGTGAAGAGAAAAATTCCTGGGTATGTTAATTAACTCTTCTTTTCCTCTTTGCTGGGGTCAGTGAGGTCACTGACGAGCTGCTCCGCTGGGTTTGCTCTGGGTTGCACCAACTGGTGACCGAGCACCCCGTGATTAGGAAGGGGAACGTTTTCCAAGGTCAAGGGGAATCCAGACACTGAGACCTCTCTGGAGGCACGTGGCTGTGCTGGGCAGGGGCTGAGGGAGGCTGTGCCCAGCTCTGCCCTGGGACACAGCCCCAGCCCTGGAGCCTGATGATCCCTGACCCTTCTCAAACAGCACGAGAAGGTGCAGGAGCACCTACCCTGTTCTCTGCTTTTCTGCACAAATTTCAGACCAAAAGGCTGAGCTGCCTTAGCTGACCAGGTGCTGAGCAGTTAATGCTCCCAGGATGCAGTTCCTGGACAGGCTCCTGTGCCTGGAGGATTGTGTCTTCCAGAGGTGGGGAGCCCAGCTGGGGCAGGCAGCAAGCCCCTGCTCTGGCTGTGAGCTGAATCTAAATCATGGACCAGACAGGGGACACTGAGCTGCCACTCTCCCCCAAAACCATTGCCAGGAGCCCTGTCCCTGTCCCCTGGTCCTGGAGCAGCACCACCAGCCCATCCCTGGGAGCGCCGGCGGTGCCGTGGCATTGCCATGGCAATCAGCACCACAGAAGGGACTAAAAATAAACCCCAGCTCTGCACAGCACAAAGATCATCCCAAATCCCAGCCCTGACTCAACCATCCCCAAACCCAGGGAGGTGGTGCTGGGTCCCTGCTCCCCCACCCATCCCCTCCAAAATCCAGCTCCTGCACAGGTACAGCATTTCCCTCAGCTCCAGGCCCCTGTGCCACTGGGAGTGCCCAGAGCTGCACAGGAGAGGTGGGCATTGCTCCAGAGCCTCTGGGACTTGTGGTCAGCCTCTGGGACTTGTGGTTTTTCCTTTAAAAACCCCAAAATCCAACTGATCCCCACTGCGTTTCCCATGTCCTGAGCAGCATCTTGCCTTCCCACCAAGAAACTTGGAGAGCTGGGCGAGCTCCAGGCACAAAAGGAGAAGCTGAGCACCCTGTCCCAGGTCACACCTTGCCCAAACTGTGACCAAAGGAGCCCAGGGAGCAAAATGCCAGAGCAGCACTGGATGCTCAGGGTGCACCTGGAAGTGATCCCAAGGGATAAAAGCTGCTCAGGAACATCAGCCCTGGCCACAAACCCAACAGCACCGAGGGCCACCACGGGCAGAGCTGTGGGAGCAGGAGCCCAGGGGGCTGAGCTCCCCTTTTCCAGCAGCATCCCAGGTTTCTGGTGTCAGTGGCCGGTCCCCTGGTCTGTGAGCCCATGGTCAGGTGTCAGAGCCATGAATTATGGATGGCAGCCCTGAATTATTCCTGCTGCTTCATCAAGGGAAGTGTGGGCACAGGGACCTGGGCAGACACCTCCTGGTGAGGGGGGTGAGCCCCCCAGAGCAGCAGGACACCGATGGTCCCCAACCCACCCCAGCACAGACCCTCAGCTCCAGCACCTGCCTCCTGCCCCTGCAAGGAGCAGAAACTCTCCTCTTTAATTAACACTTCTCTTAATTAACATGCAATTCCAACTTGGCTGTCCACAAAGCTTACACTTACTCCAGAACAGTTTGCCATTTTTTTTCACCCTAAAAACCATTAAAAACAGGAAGAAATCCCACAAGCAGCTTTATATTGACCTTTGTACCTTAACCCCCTCAGGGGAAGGATCCACAAGAAAAACATCCCAGTTCTAACAGGGCTCTTGATCACACATTTAAATCAACTACATCCAAAAAATCAGCTTTTTCAACCCAAAATACACTCCCATTTATAATGTACATGTACAAACTATATTTATAATATAGTTTCTACATGTAAGACCTTGAAAAAAAAAAAGTCACACCAAGGTTCAAACATAATATTTTTATTTGTGGATAAAAATTAAGGCTCACAGTACTTTTATCATTTCACAAGCAGAAAAATGTTAAAAATTGAGACTGATGGGGAATGCCCCCAATACAAATTCCTCTAACTGCTGACATGTTTTACTGAAGACTCGAGGTGAACAATTGTACAGGGCAGCTACAGGTATTAGTTTGTAAACTAGGTGCTAAATATATATTTTTTTTTAAGAAATGTGAACAGAGTATGATGTTTCTCTCCACTTGTGGCTGTCCAGTACACGTGGATTCCACAGAAACACCCAAGAACCGCCGGGATGATCACACCAACCTTCCCAAGAACAACCCACCACGGCTACAACGCATGGCACAGGTGTCAAACAGGGGGGAGAGAGCTAAGGGGCACAAATCCCATTTCCATAAGACATTTGGATTCATAGTGCAATAGTTTATGCCTAAAATTTTCAATAGTCAACTTTCTGGCTTAAAGAGAAGAACACAGGACTGCTGTCCAGCTGCAGGAATGCAGCCCAGGGGATTAAAGGATGGGATGAGTGCATGGCAGACTTCAGGACACAGGGAGACATCGTGCCTGTAGTTAAGATGCAACTCCAAGGAGGACTTTTCCAAGTGTGCAGCATGCAGTAAGGAAGGGATTGCTGCCCAGGTGTGCTGCAGGTGTGTGGGCAGAGGTACAACCACTCCTGTGACCCCCAACCACCACCACGAGGGTTTTATCAGAGTTACATCAGAACTGTGGCACTACAGACTGCAGGTCCATCTACACAGAGAGCTGGTGTCTTGGCCAAACCTGAGGGGGGTTTGTTTTTCAAGGGGCTCTGCACTATTTGCATTATTTTTAGTGACTCCTCCAGCTTTGCCTGTTTGCTGTCAAGGCAACACGAGCGGTGGCAGCAGCGGGGCCGAGCCTGCGCACAGGGAGAGCTGGGGGAGCAGGGAAGGCTCAGGGATTTCTGCACCACTCCAGAAGGCTTCACTTGCACTCTGTGGAGCAGAGACACCACCCAGGACTGACAACAGCTGTCCTGAGCCTTTCCTTCCCTGACCAGAAATGAAGTGCACTCTGAAGCTGTACCTTCCTTGGGGAGCTCTCCTCTGAGACCAGCTTGTTTTCCCAGGACCCTGCTAGGCCAGGTTCTGCCCCAGCAAACTCCACGTGCAGGGTTCAACCAAGAGCTCCCACAAATCACCTTCCTGCAGCAAAGGAACATTTGGATTGGCAATCACTGACACCACAAAAAGCTCATCCCAAGGGCTCCGGGAGACTGTGACTGGTGCAAGTCACCACTCCCTGTTCTAAAGGAGACAACTGAGACAGACTAAGCTCAATGTGCCCAGGCTGCAAAGCCCTCCAGGAGCAGGGCTGGAGGGGGAGGCAGGTCCCAACTCCACATTACACAGCCACTGGTGTGCTGCCCTCCTGCATCCCCGTGTCCCCATCGGCCCCCGGAGCTGAGGGCTGGAACACACCAGATCCTCCCCCTCGTGAAAAACCACCCCTGACACAGGCAAAAGAAAACATTTACACCAGTTGGCCATTTCCTAGGAGCAGAAGTTAAACCCAATTTCCATAAATGTGTAGGCAGTGAATGTAAGAACAGGAAAATGTGTGCAACCAAAAATATAGAACAAACACTTCCAACATTATTCCAGTTCACAAATCCAGGCAAGGGGAGAGAGAAGTAGCTACAGCCATGAAATACTCCATGTTACTGAACAGTTTAAACCAAGTATTTTACCCCATAACACTATGGTGAACTTGCAGCTGAACAGAACAACTGCTTAAACCAGAAAACCAGGGATAAGAGGGATGAGCCTGGATACACATTCCAGTTCTCCCGGGGAGGTACCGGCAGGCACCCAGCAACCTGCTCAGGTCAGAATAGAACTGTTCCTGGCACAGGACATGCTCAGGATTCTCAGGTGGATGGAAATGGCTTTGCCTTAAACCATCAGAAAAACTCCACGTCCAAAGTATCCATCTCTCCAATTATTGCTTCACTACAAACAGCAGAACATGAGTGACAGGAGGATCTACACGGGTTGGGAAGTCAGCCCCGACCCCAGGGCTTCACACTAATGACTAGAATGACCTCACAGATCAAGCAAAGCACAATACATACCCAAAAAAACTCCTGTAAAAGCAAATGTGCAGAAAATAAACTGTCACCAAGTCCCAGGAAAGCACAGGGGGCAGCAGGAGCGGCGAGGGGGCAAACAGGGCTCTCAGATCCAGCAGCTCTGGTGCAACAGCTGTGCCAGCTGCACTCCCAGTGTGACACTTCTATCCATCCCCAGAGCACACAGGGATCCTGCCCTGCCTGCAGTTTGCCACGGGCACACACACAGGCAGTGTGTCAGCACACACTCACCTGCCGGGCCAGGACAGACACACGGACAGAGGGGATGGCAGGAGATTTCAGCCTTGCTCAACATTATTGCCATGGGCCAAGAGTCAAACAATATAGAACAAGTTAACAGTACACAACATACACAGTAACTGCACAACTCGACAGTGCCCACTACTCCATTTGGCAAAATATTTATTTATAATAAATCCGTCCGAAAGCAGTTGGTCACAAAGGATTCCTTTTACACGTTTAGGCTGGAACAATGCTTTTGGTAGAAGTAAATAAACTGTCTCTTTTTACACAGTGTACAAAAAACAAAGAGACACGGAAATGACAGTAAAACCCATGAGAACGGGGAGAACTGTAAGACAAAGGCAGAAGCAGGAGGGACCTGTGTGTGCCCGGCAGTGCTGCCACGGTTCTTTACCCGTACAATCCTCACCCCGCGGCGGGATCATCCCCAGCACAGCTCTGAACTGCAGGATTATGCTCCAGGAGAGGAATCTGATGCGATGTAGCAGCTCCAGTCACTCTTTCACAGTACTGCATGTCAACACTGGGAATGGTTTCTGATATGGTTTAGACTGCACACAGTACTTGGATAGAAAAAGAGTTAATTACTCCCACTCCGTAGTTCCTGGTGGCTTTGATGTCAAGTCATACATCACCCGAGAAATGCCAGGAATCTTCTTGATCTCTGCCACCATTTTCAACACAACCTGTTGTGGAGGGGAAAAAAAATATCAGAAAAAAAAGTGTGTGAAACAAAACTGAAGAAAATTATCTGAGAAAATTATCTTTTTTAAAGGAAAACTGCTCACACTGATCCTGTCAGACACAAAGGAGGAAGAGCCTCCTGCCATTAGCACATGGACACCAGTTAACAATCAACTGAACCAACTCTGGCTCATGGTATCTGCAGGTACATTTGGGACTTGCTGACTTTTGGCACAGACTAAACCAGGCTGTGGATCACAAAACACGTCCCTCAAGGCAGCAGCTCTTCAGCTCCAGAGCTGTTTATTACAGTTCAGCAGGAACACGCTCTGCTCTGTGTTACCAAAGTACCTGAAACTGGATATGGATAGTTTTCCAGAAAAAAGCACCTGAACCTGACTCCTAAATCCTTTTAGTGACCTAAAGAGCAAACAGGACACTGAGATGTTAAAGCCAGAAGTGTCAATCAAGGGCAATTCATGACGTAATTATTTCCAGTTACTAATGCAAAAATTAATTCCAAAATCCCAGGAATGGCTGGGTGTTCTTTTCTTTTCTCAGTGGCATTTTGGCTCAGCTCTGCTGGAAAGCCTTTTGTCACACCTATCTGCCAGCTCCTCATTTTGTTAGTTTTCCCCAAACCACCACGATATTCTGGGTAAGGAATATTATGAAAGAGAAAAAACAGCAAGGAAGTCAAAGTCAAGGTAACCCAGAGAGATAGAAAGAGAGGGGAAGGTGGAAACGAGCCCTCTGCAACACAAGCTCCCGGTGAAGAGGAGCCTGAAGGCCACGTTACCTCCTCTGGGACCTCGTTGCCAGGGGTGGCTGCGATGCCAGTCATGAAGTCACTGGTGATGAAGGGCCTGATGACCACAGACCTCTGGCAGGAGGGCTGCTTCTGCAGGGGGTCCCGGTCGAAGTGCAGCGGGGTCAGGATTATCGGCATCTGGCTGATTTTTCCGGCGTAACCTTCAGGGAAGGGTCGTGCAAAGGGCATTAATTTGGGTTGCAGACACCAGCTGGACAGAATCCCCACCTGGGCTTCAAATTGTACACCAGCAGCTGCATTTACACCTCGTGGGATCTTCTCCCTGCTGCTCTGGCACCACCACAGCTACTCAAATCAGCACTGGAGGCACTGGGGAGGCCCTGGCACAGGTTGCCCAGAGAAGCTGTGGCTGCCCCATCCCTGGGAGTGTCCAAGGCCAGGTTGGATGGGGCTTGGAGTACCCTGGGATAGTGGAAGGTGTCCCTGCCCATGGCAGGGAGTGGGACTGGATGGGTTTTGAGGTCCCTCCCAACCCAAACCTTTCTATGATTCTATAAGTTGCCACTTGAGATGATCCTCAACCTTTGCAGGCATGCCCAAAAATCCCAGATAACCTCTGTCATCCCTGTAATTTGCTGTGAATCAACTGAAGATCCACTTTCCTTCCCACATAGCACAGCCATGCGGTTTTATCAACCCCAATATATCAAGCCCAATAAAGAGCCATTCACAAATATGCCTTTGAAATACTCTTTGAATAGTCTTTTTGAACAACTCAAGAGAAAGCTCTCCAGCATCCCCATGGCTGGTGGCTGACAGGTAACCCCAGACAATCATCTCTCACTTACTTCTTTCTAAATTAACTCCTTCTCAAGGCCAATACACAGATCCCTAATTTCCCTGTTTCAATGATCTAAAAGTCTGATATGGAGGTGTGTTGCAGCTCACAGTGCTCAGGCTCCCCCCCTCTGCCAGCCCTGGCCTCAGCTGCTGGCACAAGGAGGTTTGTTCACTAAATCAGAACTCCAGTCTTATTTTTAGGAGAGATTCATTCACACAAAGCCAAGTGTCACCAAAAGTTAGCAAGACACAGCCACAGTTTTACCAACACAACCAACAGTGTTATCCACAGCCTTCTGAGGGTAATCTTGTACAAATCCTGTTCAGACTGCTCTGCAAACTGAACATGGATTCTCAAAAAGAGGTATCTGCTGTAACTTGATTTATACAAAATATAGGCAAGTCTGAGGCAGTGCTTCCCACACAGATCACATCTCCAAAGGTGATTAAAAACATAAAACTGAACCTCAGAACTCTTCATTCCCAGACTGACTGTGCACCATACCCAGGGAACTGAACACTCCCTGGGAGTGCAGGGTTTGGGTTGACAAACACAGCTTTCACTTCAAGTTAAGGAACAGGAAAGCACCACAGGCAGGCAGGAGCATCAGCACCATTGGAAACTTGGTATTTGGGCTCCCTTCTTACCACAAAAAAACCACTGTTTAAAAACTCTGCCAAGTTTCTTTACTTCAGGTAAATCCTGAGGACTGAGATCAGCAGAGGGAAGGAACTTTGCTGACTTCCAGCTGGCTGACAGTACATTTTGCACAAGTTTGCAGTGCAGTGAAGCACCACAGCACCACATGGCACATCAGAGGTAAGCCTCAGTTCCCCAAAATCCCCTACAATTAATTCCTGTCCTTTAGCTATCAGCTTCTACAACTTTCTCAAGAGCCTGCCATCCCCTTAGTTGACCACCTTCTCTGCAGGTATTTGGGAAGGTTATAGATTTTGACAGTACCCTGTAACTATTCCCACTAGGTCTGCAGGGACCTGACCCATGGGATAAGGTGGAGCACCTACCAGACTCCCTGAGAATGTTGTGAGCCTCAAAGTCAGCTTGACGTAAAGTGCTGAGGACTCCTGTGGTCAGGAAAGTGGGGGTGACATCTGTGGGGGGCTCTTTGACCGGGGGGCCAAACACATACACAACTCTGCAACAGATGGGGGGGGAAAAAAACCACATTTTACATTCACAGAATAAAACAAATTGCCTCCAGACTGCATCCTTAGTGTCACAGTGAGAAAACAGAACGAGGAAGCAGCATATTTTATTTTGCTTACAGTTTCTAACAGGAACCCAGCAAAACCCCCATTAAATACTAAACCTTGTCAATGAAGAGCTGTGTGTTCAGCACAGGGCACTAACACTGCAATTTATAAATCTGCATAATTACATCTGTGATAAAATATCTTCTGAATTCAAAGCAGCCACATCAGCTTTCCCCTGTTCCCCTCCCTGCAGAGCCCAGAGCAGTGTGACATGTCTGAGTGCCTCACACACGGACCTACCAGGACACACCAGCTATTTGACTTTGTGCATACAAACCAAGAATACTTGTCTAAAATCCAAAGCAGAAAAATATGCAAGTTCAGACTGTGTATTTTTGTTTGCAACACAAAGCCTGCAAGCACAGCTGGGCAGCAGACCAACTATTCCAGTGCCCTCCTGGCTGCCAGTCTCCCTGTCCCTGCAAACAGCAGCAGAGTCTGCAAACACCCCCTGGGAGAGCACAGCCCCCAGAGCTGGGGGAGGCTCAGGGGGGCACCATGGAACCCAGAAGAGCCTAAAGAAGTCAGCAATTCTGTGAAGCCAGCACACACTGAAACTGCACAGGCAATCCTGATTTATACCTTCTTTTGTCCCCTCTGCATTTAATTTAACCAATTATCTTGCAATTCCAGGGCTCACCTTCCAGGATAATAGCTCTGTCAGTAGGTGTCACTTCTGTGAGAAAATTAAGGTTTGCTATAAGCAATTAGAAGCAGTTTCACCAGAAATCCCCCAGCCAGGCAAGGAGGATGTGATTCTCCAGAGTTGATTTAATGTCTAAGCAACGTCAGCTGCTGGGAAAAGTTATGGAATCAAGTAGGTAGAAAATGTATCCTCACAGAGAGCTCAATTAAGATCAAACTGCCCAGCTTTGGAGCTCTCCTTGTGCCATTAGAACTGACATCCCCATGTAAATCCCTTTTTGACACACAGCAAAACCAGACTGCAGGACAGCACAGCTCATCAGCAGGCTGGAGCCTTGCAGAAGAGATTTGCATAAGTTATATTGGATGTTGTCTAATCAAGTGCTCTGAAAAATGAGGAGGTAGGCTGGTAGGCTATCAGTTTCTTTTCAAGCTAGAAATAAATCTGTATTTTGATTTGTTGTGTATTTATAACCTCTGTATGATACCCTGGCCCAACACATAAAAAATTGTACCCTACAGAGGAAAATGTTTGTGCATGCTAAACTTCCATACATTAATTAGCTCATTAGAAATAAAGATAATTCGATCCTTACCTGTTTATGTTGTGGCACATGCGTGGGATGAGCCTGGCAAGAAACATCAGGGACTCCCAGTGTGGAGCATCTTTGCTGGAGATGCCACAGACGTAGCTGTAGGAGCGACAGTCACCCTGCAAGGCACAAACAGCAATGACTGGATGGCAACTGGGCTGCCAAAATCACTCACAAGACTTTCCCCTTCACCCTGCAGGTGACAGGGGCCATATTTTGGGCCAAGTTTCAGCAGACACCAAGTTGGTGAAATCAGTGTGGTGGGAGATGCTGAGGGGACGAGGAAACACAGAGCAAGATAACAGAGCTAACAGTGTATAAAAGGAAAAGTTCAGACTTAGGAAACATATATATATAAAGATATACATGTATAAAGGGAAAGATTCAGACTGGGGAGATTCATCTACAGCGACCAGAGAAGAGGGATTGATTGTGTGTTGGCATTTTTGTGACAAAGTGTAGAAATCTGATGACACTGCAGCTTCAAACACTAACCAAAGCTGACTGCAGAGAGCCACAGAAGCCACACACAACACTAAGCAGTGATAATAAAACATATGTAATTCAATACTGATACTGCAGAGAAAGGTTCTTTACAGCTGTGACTGCTCAGTAAAGAAATCCTCCAAGTTATTGCACACAATTCCACGGGAATGCCAGCTCAGCACTTGGTTTGGATTTCTGTCCCCAGAGGAGGGAAAAGGGAGGTAACACTGGTGCTGCACAGATCCCAGTGTTCCCTGCACTGCTCCAGGTCCTTGCCAGGATTAGTGCAATTCAAAAAAGCACAGGAAGGGGCAAATGTAGGAAGGAGGGATTTTTAACCAACATAGTCTGAGACTCCTGAGTCTTATCAGGGACAACAGATGACAGCAGAGGTCAGTGGGGCTGGGAATGTTGTGAAGAAACTGCCTGTGAGTGACCAGGAACTGCCTGTGAGTGACCAGCATCACTGAACCCAGATAATACCCTCAAATCCAAGCCCTGGCACTTGCCTGAGTGTCCCTTCAGGCATCCTGACACCTCTGCACTGCCCCAGCACTGACAAAGCTCTCACAGCCATTTGGAGTTTATCTCCTTGACTCGAGCTCTTTATTCCCACATCTCAAGGCAGCAATTATGATGTTTCTCCCCAGCCTGCCATCCCAGCAGGAAAGAGCTCCCAGACCATCCCTGGAATGCCTCCCTTTACCTGCACTCCCACAGTTTTGATTGGTAGCAAGAAGGCATTCAGTGAATGTAGGCTTGTAATCTGCATCAGCTTCTCCTGGTCTTCTTCACTTGTACACGCCTTGACCCTTTGCAGTAAAGTGTGTGGCTGTGCAAGGATGCAGAAAAATACATTTTAGTTAAATAAAGCTCCCAAGCCCTCAAACAAAACATGCACAGTGCAAATAAAAATGTTATTGAAGTAGCTGTTTGCTTAAATTTAGTCTACATTTACCCCTTGGAACTATTTTAAAAAATACCTTTCATTTGACAATTAAATATTAGCAAAAGCACTTTTCTTTGATTAGTCTGTACTTTAAGCTGAGGCTCTCCAAGGCCACAGGGGAAGCTCTTTTTCCTGTGCTCACTCTTTCACAAAGCTGCACTTTTCATTTCTGTGGCACTACAATGGTTTTTAAAGGAAAAGCAGATGTAAATATTAGCCCTTCAGGATTTACAAAAAACTTTGGGAAGTTGTTTTGAACTTACACCTCAGAGCAGGTCCCTGCTAAGGACTTTTTACCTCTGAGTGAGCTTAGAGCAATCACAAAGGTCATCACAGTTAAGAGATGTAGAATTTAAACATCACCAATTAAAAACTCCAGGTTTTGGTCCAGGACACCCAGCAAGCACCAGTTCCTCACTCCTGCACTGTCATCTACACATTCACTGGTTGCTTGGGTGTGCAAGCCCAGAAAGTCACAATCATTTCAGGGAGGGAAGACCTTTTCCTAATACTGTGTGATTTGAGGTATCTCCAGAAACCTCATCTGCACAAAGTTTAACTACAACAAAACTTGTTTACTATCTGAAGGGTGTATAAACTTCCCCTTTCCAGAAACTGTTCAACACTTGCAGCAGTCATGGCAGTAAAATTCCACTGAATCGCTTCAAGTGAGTTGTACTGGGACTCATCATCCCTTACAGAGCACAAAGTAGTCATTTGGACCTTTTAGCAGTTTAAACCTCACTGCAGACCACTACAGAACAATCCCACTACTTCTGTGCACGTTAAAATTCACAGTTCTCTGTGAAGCTCTCTGACCTTCTTCACACTCGCAGAAAAATCCGCAACTATTTTCAGGATGTTGTTTGTCTCTGGGAAGTCTTTGCACACATAAGGTTCTTCAGCACAGATCACTCTGATTGCCAGACCAGGACCTGCAAAGCAGCAATAACAGGAAGATGATTTTCACCCAGAAACGTGGAGCAGTGGGTCAGTGCCTGAGTACAGTGTATTTTGCTCTTGTACATGCACTTCAATTGTCTTAACACCCTGCAAGACAAAAAAACCCAACCCCCACACATTTTATTCCAGAAAGACATTCCTATTCAGGACATTTAAGCATCAATTTACATTTAAGCATTGACTGCCTACACCTTGAACGTGCTGGTGGTGCAGTGGAGCAGTCTGTGGTGATGAAGTGCTGGCTGGAAACCCAAAATGAACAGGAACCTCCTCCCTCCCTTTGCTGGGCAACTGAGAACTCTGGGTATAACACACAGAGGAGTCTCCACTGCTTTTAAAGACCCCTGAGGGCTGTTTGACCTTTTAGCTACTTAATATAAGAGTGCAATGTGCTGGAAAAGGCAGGTCCTTGCCTTGCCTGGGATGGTGCTGCATTAGCACAGCCCCTGTGCTCAAACACACGGGCAGAGAAACATCCCCTCTGGGAAGGACTCGGCTGTGTTATCCACTCGGATGTTTCCTGGTGGAGAACTCGTGTTAGTCTCCAGGCTTTCATTTTCAAAGCAGCAAATGCCCCTTGGAAAGGCAGAGCCAGGCCATTACTCCAGGTAGGATGGGCACGTGGCAGCTCAGGCAGTGGCCACTGCACTTACTGGGAATCCCTGCTTGGCTGCTACAGCTGAAAAGGAGCAAATGCAGCTCAGGGCAAATTCAGTTACAACACGTTTGCTTTTATTAAGTATATTTATTAAGCTGCTCTCAAATCTTTTCCTGAAAGAAGATCCTGCTAAAATAAAAACCTAAATTGATCTTTTCTGTGTTTAGAGATCAGTTTTATACTCCACCACACTGCAGTTAGGCATCTGCTGAACAACACTGGTGTGATCCACAGCCCTGCACTAACAGCACAGACCAGCTCCCATACCTGGGAAGGGGTGCCTGGAAACCAGCTCTTCAGGAAGGCCAAGCTCTCTTCCCAGCACTCTCACTTCATCTTTGTGAAAGTCTTTCAGTGGTTCTATTACTTTGCCCTTAAAAGCAAAAACAAAAAAAAAGGCAATTTACACTCCAGCTCACAAGTTCAAACAAAAAGCCTCAAGTGTTTAGGTTATGGCAATCACACTGGCCTGCTCCTCACAGCATCAGTGCCAAGGATTCCATAAACACTGGAAACAAATCCCATGTCAGTGTGGGCTTTGCAAAAGAGTTGCAGGACAGAGGGGGAGACAAGGAAGTTTCAGCTTGTGCCAGAAGTATCCCTGGCTCCAGACACAGCTGTAAGGTCAAACTGGCTCTGTCTGTGCAAATTCAAACCTTCCCTGTCTCTGCTGGATGTTCAAACCGACCCAAAAGCCCTGAAAACTCGTTCTGCAGTGCTGGATATTAGAAGTGTGGGTCATTAGGAGTTCTCTCCTGTGGGTGAGACTCACTGATGAGTGAGCACCTTCCACCAGGGCTGTGATGGGCTGGTGCTTTCTTAGACTATTTTGTAACACAGTTAGAGAACTAATGCCAGAAAAAGCAAATTAGGGCACTCTCCTACATTTGCTTCACATGCTGATACTTAAGAGCTGTGCACAGGAAAGGTGTTTAAAAAGCTTTTCTGGACTTCAGACTAAACAGACCAACTGGGAATAGCACCAAAGGGACAGGACTTGGGCTGCCTGTCTTCAGACAGTTCAACCTCTTGTGTTCCCATCATCTCCAAGCTCCTGGTTGTCAGCCACAGATGTCCCCTTTGGGCCATTTCAGAAAGATCCTGGGGTTCCTAAATTGCTAACTGGCAAAGACAGTGTGTGCCATCAGCATGCTGCTGGCAGATCTCTGAACAGGTTACCACAAATGTGAGGCAGCAGCTGCATAGGAACAAAAAGAACTCACCCCTGGAGGTACCTACAGGAGCCATCCCTACATTCCAACCCATTTAAACATGTTTTTCTCATTCCCTCTCTCTCTTGAGAACACTTTGCTTGAATGTTACAAGAGGTTCAAGATAAGGAGAATTTTGTTCTTCTCTCTCAGCAGGAGCTGATTATCTTTTTCTAAGCACTTTTTTAAAAGCACTGTCATTGCTATTGCCTGAACCCATCATGAGCCAGGTCTGGAATATCAGTACCTAAAGATTACTCGTTGACTTGTGTCCAGAACGAGAGACAACAGAAGGAAAAAGTGACCCATTACACCACAAATTCCAGTTAAACCAGTTGCCCGAGAAGCCTAAACTGCTCTGCTGCTGAAGGCACTGGTGCTGCCCTGCTTCCTCACCACACAGGGCTTTGTTTGAGAGGGAAGAGTGAGGAAACAGCTTTTGGGTTGCAGCTGAGAACATCACTGTTCACACTGCATGAACCCCCTTCAACCCTCTGATACTGGATACCCTTCCGGGTATCCAGTGCTGGGCGACACCCAAAAATCTGGACTACTCTGGGAATGTAGCAACTAGGAAAAAAGTGTAATAAATTGCAGTATATTACAATAGAATCTCAAGGGCCTCGTCAGAGCAGGGGCCCATCAGTGCAGGACAGTCCCAGCAGCACAGCAGAGAGTGTTCAGCCTGTGACACTGAGCCCCTGTCCGGTACCTCCTCCCGCAGCTTGCGGATCAGCTCCGTGTCGTTGTGGTGGGTTTTGATCACCTCAGCTTTGCCACTGGCCACGAGGGAGGCGCTTTCAATGAGGTCAGGTCTGAGGGTGCCCTGGGCCAGAAAAACCTCTTCGGGTTTCAGGTTCATTTCTCCAATAACCTCGTTGGCAATCTGTAGGATGGGGAGAAAATAAAGCAAAGAGCTGCAGTCCACTTTTGGCTGTCCAAGGTCTGAAGAAGATAATGGATTGCCTGGCCAATGATACTGAGCTGGAACAGTACAAACAATCAGGAGGACTAATTATGACACTCTCCCACTGCTGAAATAGTCCTATAACCCCTTATTTTGTTGCACAGAAAATAGAAAAAATACCTCCAGACTACAGGAACATCAGTGCCTGCTCAATATTCTCCCTCAAACCTACCAGTGGCTCCTTAGGTCATCCACACACTACACAAGAGCACTGATGGCACTGACCAAACAGTCTGACAGGAAAGGTGTATCCAGAAATCACGTTATTTTAAAAAAAATAAAAATCAACCAAATAAAAAATAAAACATTACCTTAACAAAGGTGTCACCAATGATTTTTCTTTTTTCCTCAGGACTTGTGGTCATATTTAAGGTCTTGCTAATTCTCTTCCGTGGAGTTCTGTCCTCATCTGAGATGGGCAGAGTTGTTGTACCATTATAGAAGGAATGAGCTGCATTCACCACTGCAGGAAATCACAGGGAGTTTTTGACAGAGTCAGTAAAGGTTTGTGGGCAAGGTTGCAAAAAAAAAAAAAAAAAGTTTTATTTTGCTGCTTTAAAAAAAGGAAAATAAAAATCATACCAGTCCTTTGACTATTGACTGCATTAAATAGGGCTGTTCAACACCTCAAGAATTAGTTGTAACAAAAGCCTTTTATTTCTCTTATTAACCTGTTATTTTTTCATATTGTGACTGAAAGCTCAGTTGTTGCTTCCCCTCTTAGATTATAATTTACTTGCTTTAAATGGTTTACAGGACAGTGTTTCCCCAAGGCCTTTCTGCAACCAAAATTAAATGATGCACTATTTATTCATGCTACATTATGCCTCTTAATTTAGAGAGGCTCTCAACCCAGAGATCAGCTGGGAGGCTCCCTGGCATCTTTTACCAGCACTGAACTCCCTGACCTACAGAAGGAGCACTTGCAGCAAAGGGATTCCCTCAATTTGTTCCCCTGGCTGCCTGCCAGAGCCCAGGTTTATTGCTCCACAGACTGCAAGAATAAGACATAGATTTTCCACTAAAAAAAGAAAAAAGTAAAAATAATAGAATAAAGCTCAGACTTTGCTGCACTATTTGAGGGGCAGGCAGTGGAAAGCATTGCTCACCTAGTGCCACAATTCCTGGCCAAAACACAGGAGGATCCCTTGACAACACGCTCTGCACCAGAACAGGCAGCTCTTTCTCATTAAATTACTCAGCCAGGCAGTGTAAAGCAGCTCTGGCTGTTTGCACAAAATTTGCCTTCTCTGACCTCCTCACACTTGAGGTAAAAAAAACCCTCTGAACCTTCTCATTGTCCATGTCAAGGCACTTTCTGCTCACTCATAATGAACTGCTTCATAGAACCACAGAATCACTGAGGCTGGAAAAGACCTCCAAGATCACTGAGTCCAACCTGTGACCAATCACCACCTTGTTCTCAACAAGCTACTCCAAACCCAACCAAAATTTAAAAGCAAGGAAAAATGCCCTGAAAAAGTAATTCTGGCTATAATAGCATTCAATCACTCAAATGAGCTCTCAGTTTACAAAGAAAGAGATCCAGGACAAGAAATAAAGCCCCAAGTGTTAACCAGGATACTGGTAAACATGGAAATCCAGGGAGTTTTGCAGCAGCTGAACAGGGTCCCTCACCCATCAGCAGAGAAGTGACTGAGGCACAAACCCACTGCTCTGCTGTGCCCCAACTGCAGGCCCCCGATCTGAACTACTCCAGAGATGGGGCAGCTCACTGTGCACTCCAGTCAAATAAATTAAGGCTTAACATCTCAGGTTTGAATTTTGGCAACAGGCCCAGGCGGCTCCAAAGGACCAACCTGGCTTTGGCAGGCAAGGTCTGGGAAGAGCAGCTCAATAAACCCAGAGCACTGAATGCAGCTCTGAGGGAGAACAGCCAGGCTGCTGGCGGTGCCGGGCACACTGAGCAGAGTTGAGGTACCTTTGACTTGGATGCCCAGCTTTTTGAGGGCCTCCTCCACGGACTGGCTCTCCCTCTTGCGCATGAAGCCGTTGTCGATGTGCACGGCGATGACCTGCTCGCGGTTCAGGGCCCGGTTCAGCAGGGCTGTGCACACTGTGGAGTCCACCCCGCCACTGAGCAGCACCTGGGCGGGAGGGAAAATGGGAAAAAGGGAAAAAAAACCCCAAATGTGAGCAGCTGTCTGTGGGGAAAGTGTCAGCACACAACTCAGACACAGTCGGGAGGGCGAGAACAGAGCGCTGACCTGCAGCCAGTGACTCGGAAGGGAACAAGAAGCCAAACAACACATCGGCCCAACTGTGCACTTTTTCTAAAACCTGGGTAATGTACGACCCAAATCGTGACAATTCTGCGTTTTCCAAATTAATCTGGACAACTATCAGTGCTCCTGCAAATAAATCTTTCGGCTTGGAGCCAAGGCACTCACCAGGACCTTGGAGGAGCCCACTCTGTCCTTGATGTCCTGGATGCACTGCAGCTCCCTGTTCTCCACCGTGAAGGTGCCGCTGCAGCCCGCAATGTCGTACAGAAAATTCTTCAGGATCATCTTCCCGTTCACTGTGAGGCTCACCTCGGGGTGGAACTGTGCTCCATACAGCTTTTTGGACTCGTTTGCTATGCCTTCATTGGTGCAAGGAAATGAGCGTGACAAAACAGAAATAAATGAGTAAATTGGCAGTGAATGCACACCCAAGTCAAGCAGGTACTGGCACAGTGTATACAGTGATTTATTCTGCCACCTTTTGGCACAAGTCACCAGTGAAAACTAAAGATTCTCACTAAGATTAGGAACAAAGGTACTCTTATATATCTAAACACACAGTCCCTCAGAAACCAAGGAAAACACTGAGACATCCCAGGAAAATCCCTGTGAAAACAGGAATAAATCATATTACTTTTTCCCCTCATGTGATACCTCATCCAACCCTGCAGCCAAGCCACACCGACCCAGCTGCATCCCAGTGTCCCTGTCTGATTTAGGAGCTTAATCTTCAGCCTTTTCATCTTTTCAATGAAAGATTTTAAATAAACCAGATGAATAAATTGTGAGATCTTACTAAATGCTCAGCACATTTAAGATCTCTCCAGGGCTCCCATCTCCAAGGAAAGAGGCTCCAGAGGGGGTTCTTTGGGACTCAATAATTCCAGTGACTTTCAAACCCCAAATTCTAAGGTCCTACATTTTTCTGTGACAATCTGTGTGCAATGTTAAAACCCTGCTTTCAGTACCTACATTATTCTTGCTCACTTGAACATTCATGCAATATTAAATAACAAGTTAATCAAGCTTTAATAATTAATTAAACAGCGTTTGACTTGTACTATTACAGTGCAGAACCCAAACCCCACTCACACTGCACACCACAGCACGTCTCCATCACCCCTGCCCTAAGGGCACAGGGTATTTTATCCCAGAGAGAAACAACACATGCACACTTTAGAATAACATAAACTCTAGAAAATAATGTTAACTCTTACTTAAACCACATTTCAATCAGGGTCACTCCTTTTGAAGACTATTTCTTTATTACCACGACAGCACAACATGCAAACACACACAAGGAATTGTTAAAAACAATTCCCTTGTTTGGCAATTAAATAACAAAGGAGACTATTCTGTTCCCATTTGGTTCTAACTTCTGTCTGCCATTATTGTTTCCTTTAACCAACGTTACCAGAAGACAATTTCAGGAGAAAATGAATACCTGCTATAATGTTCCCAGACTGTGCCACCACCTTGAATCCATCGGCTACTTTATCCACACTATCGCCGTGAGTGAGGAGCACAAGCTCTTCCTTCTGAAGGCCCCTAAACAAAGATTAAAAGCTAGAATCAACTCCAGAAAGAACAAAGAAGTAACTCCCTGCCTTTCCAAGAGGAGTCCTGAGGGACCACAAGAAAAGCTCATCTTGTTTGACCAGGACATTTGAAATATGTGCAGGATTTCCCTCCCAGGAACAGCCATTTCCAGCTCCAAGGTGTCTCCCTTGGAAGCTGCAGAAGTTTTTGTACACTATACCTCTCATGCAAGAGGGAATTCACCTTAATTCTGAAGGGTTTGGGGTTTTTTCCTTATAAACATCCCAATATTGAAGCATTCCCTCTTGGACACGTGGAGCCATCTGGAGTCAATCAGGATCCCGGGAGTCCTGCTTTTTATTTCAACAAAGTGAACTTTTCTTCTTCAAAACTACGTGTTTTCAGGACAATTTGGGCACCCTCAGGCAAGGTATGAAGTTCTGCAGGAGCCCAGCAGAGGAAAGTTATTAAAACTGGAATACCAGGTATAAGTGAACTGTCAGACTTTTACAAGGAACTTGAGAGGCACCGACAAACTACCAAGAAATCTAATTCTGGCTTTATAAAAACATCACAAAGCAATTTCAAAGGAAGGTGGAAAGTGAATGGTTTGGGATTTTCTATGACCTTTCCAGAACTGGATGGGTGCCAACCAATACAAAAGCACTGCACAGCAGGAGACAAGAGCTTAACACAAATATTCCCAGGTCATGGTACATTTTACAGGGTCTCAATGAAGACTTTCTACTTTGAAATAAAGGGGTTACACAACATTCCCCTCTGTATTTCTTGAAAACATTTGCCTGAGTATTTGTTTCAATGAGTAACCTGCTTACTTGTTACCACACTTGTAAAAGTTTTATTAGAAAGTATCAGCTAAACATTGATGCAATTTCACTATTTTCTTTAAAATAACGTTCCTTTCATCCACACACCCTTTCCCAGACTGGTATATCCAGTATTGCTTTGGTAATTGAAAATGCCTCTGCACCTGAAGAGTGAACATGTGTTATCCAGGGTAATGCTGAACACCCCATCTTCTCTCACACTCTTCTTGTGCACTGTGCCTCCAAACACCTTATTCATCATCTGGAAAACAAAAATACTCCATGAGAAAGCACCCCTCAATCTGGTATCACTTTATACTCAGTCTTCATCTAATCCAGCCCCTTTCTCCTTGGGAGTGTTTCCTTGCTCAGCTTGGATGTGCAGACCACTGCAGGACCACCAGTGAGTCCACAGGGAAATAAGTGGGGCTGTTTCTTTTTTGGGGGGTGGAGGAGTGTAAAACACTCTTAAGAACAATGCTAAAACATTCCATGCTTGAAACACTAATTCCCTTGTTTCCATGAGGGTTCATTTTTCAATGCCAACCGGGCAGAATCAATTAGTGACCGACAGGTTATATTTGCTATGACTAAAAAAGGGCAGTGTGGAACTCCAAACAAAACTATTTATGCTATTGATCAAGGAATGGTTTGGGTTGGGAGGTACCTTAAGGCTCATCTCATTCCATGCCATGGGCAGGGACACCTTCCACTGTCCTGGGTTGCTCCAGCCTGGCCTTGGACACTTCCAGGGATGGGGCAGACACAACTTCTCTGGGCAACCTGTGCCAGGGCCTCCCCACCCTCAAAGGGAAGGATTCCTTCCCAATCTCTAATCCAAACCTGCCCTCCTTCAGCTTAAAGCCTTTATACAAGAAGGCAGAGCCAAGAGATGAACACACACCCTCCGTTTAACAATTAAAAGTATCTCAGTTGGGACTTTAGAAGCATCCTGCCCAAGTAGCACTGCCTCTGTTAGAAAAGCAGATCCTTTAGCACTTCACCTTCAGTTAATAACAGAATAAGGCCCAGAAGATGGTTCTGGACAAACAGATATAATGGGGTTGGACTCGATCTCAGAGATCTTTTCCAGCCTTAAGGGTTCTGTGATTATCCCAACAGCACCTGCATTCCATAGCAGATTCCAAGCACTGGTTTTCCTATTGTAAAGATGGCTGGGTCAAACCATGGTGCATCTTCTGCATACACAGAGTTTGGTCCTCCAGATATGATGATAGCTCTGCAGAGAAAACAAAAAAAAACATTAACTCAAATATGTTGTTTACTTGAAACCTCTTCACTTGCTTCAAACATTGACATTGTCTCATACCACTCTTCCAACTTTATACATTATAATATATATTTTAACACAGATACCCTAACATGTAGCTCTGCTATGCTATAGCTGTCACACCCACCAGCTTACTAGGGAGGTATTTCCTCAGTTTAAACAAAGTCAAGTATAAACCATCTTAAAAAGTGCCTGGATTTTAAATTCCTCATAGCCAAGCATCAGCAAGATGGTTGGGACAAAGCAGAGTATTAGCATGAAAAGATATACATATATATATATATAAATACTTAATGAAGTCTGTGACATCTGGAGGGGAGCTGCAGTCAAAAAACACATTCCCAAATTTCTAAGTCTGCTGAGAAAATGTCCCTTACTCTATTCTGATTATGCAGAGGTGGCATTAGCAACAGGTGTGCATTACAAGTCCAACACAGGCCAGCATGTACAGTTTGGAGTTAATACTTCACACCGTAAAAGAAAATCAAATCCTTTCAAAGGGGAAGAGAGAGTTTTCACAAACACAATGATTTGCAAGATCCTGAACTGCAGAGGCACCAGTTGGGCAACACTTTTGGCCTCAGCCCGGGATCGAGCAGGGCTGGACCAGACCTTGGACTCACAGACTGTTTATTTCAAGAGAACATCAAACTCGTTACTCAGAGCCAGAAATGCAAAACCAAACAAGAGAGAGGTTGCATAAATGGGATTAAATGTGTCTAATAAAGCTTTCTTCCAGCATTAGTTAGAGTCTGTCATGCAAGCACTGACAAAACCCAGTATCTCTGGTTCTGAGCAGCAGGAACAGGCACTGTGCTCACAACACCTGCACCACCAACAGACACAGGCCTGGAGGAACCAGCCCATGGACCCACACAGCCCCCTGCTCCCCCTGGCACAGGGGGGATCTCCCTGCAGCCACACAGCCCCCTGCTCCCCCTGGCACAGGGCTGGATCTCCCTGCAGCCCAGCTCCCTCTCCCCAGCACAGGCTCCTCGTTCCAGGCAGGAGAGGGATGGAGCTGGAAGAGGCAGCATTTATTTCTCTGCATGCTGGGGACCTCCAGGTGAGCTCTGGAACAAGGACACAGCTGTCACAGGGACAGGTTTACACTGACCTATCCTGACAACCTGTGCTGTACATGCACAGGCACTTCTGCTCAAGCTGGAGACATGATGGATTCCCTAAACTCCAACACTGGGAGGAAAAGCCTGAACACCCTCCATGTCTAGTGGTATTGCTGCTTCCAGTAACTCCATTTTCAGAAGCATTTGCTTCTGAATAGGACACTATTCTAAATAGGACACTATTTAATATTAACTAGACCCAGAGAATATCCTGAGTTGGTTCCAGTGCCCAACCACCCTCTGGGGGAAGAACCTTGGCCTAACATCCAACCTAAACCTCCCCTGACAGAGCTCCAGCTGTTCCCTGGGGTTCTAAGAAGGAATTAGAGGAATACAGCCACACCTAAAAACTGAACATTCTTATGAGAAGTCAAAATAGTTATACACTGTTGTACTCAAAAAGTAGAGTCTTCAAAAATCTGGTTTTTTTCCGTACCAACTAAAATCTCCCAGGATACAGAAAGGTTATGCAATATATCCAAGTATTAAAGAAAGAAATTATGACCCTGGGGGGAGACAGGAACCTGCATCTTCTCAACTGTCCAGGAGAAGTTAAAACCAGCACAGGATGCAGACCCTGAGTGTTTTACTGCAGTACCATGTAATTCCATGCATATCTTCCTGCCTTGGTATGAATATACCTTTTTCTGGTTCACCCTAAGCCACTTCCAAAACAACCCGAGCCAGCTCTGAAAGCCCATTTGCAATGGATTAAAGGCACATCAGCAACCACATAAAAATACCAAGAGTAAAATGTGTGCATTGATACCCCAACCTCAGGACTCCTGCCAGAGGTCAGTGCCAGAATCCAGACTAAAACCACTGAGCCTGTGGCACTTCCCAGCCCAGCACCAGGATCCTGTGGAAAATGCTCCTGTCCATGTCACACTTAGCTGACACCTGTCACTGGAGAATGTTCTGACACTGTGGCAATTGAGGAGCTTTTCAAACACATGTGAACACACTTTAGCAGAACTCTTGCTGCCCGTGTCAAACCTCAGCACAGCCCAAAGAGCAGCTCCTCGGTCTGTTCAGAGCACGAGCTGCAACCTGGGACCCTGACAATGCCCAGGGCACGTGGAACATGCATCAGAACCTTGCAGTGAAACAAAAAGCTCACTTTTTCAGTGGTCACTGCATGAAGGCACCTGACATCTGGCACTGGTGTTTGCTGACTGACTCTGTGGACACAAAGTCATCGACCAGCCTGGGCCCTGATAACCCGAACCCACCACCCAACCCTGGGGAGTGACCTTCTCAACAAAGAGGTGCTGCCACATTTCAGAGAGCAATTATTTGGAATGGCAAGTCCCACAGGTCTAATCATAGAACCTGAAGAACCTTCAGCTGCTAAAGGAAGGAGGGAGAAGCTCTTCCCAGCACAAACCTGCACCAGCACAGGTCTGAGACAACACACCACCAGTGCTGTGACTCACTCCTCAAATCCAACACGCAGGAGGTGCAGGAATTCTTTCAAACCAGTTATTAAGTACTTCCATCTTTTAAAGCCTTGACCATTGGAGAATTATAAGCAAGATCAGACAAGAAAAGCTGTTTTTCAGAACGTTTCTGAAAGAAATCCTTGACACAAAAGCTGCCTGATAGATCCAGCAGTTCCTGGGTTTTCTGTTCTCTGTGTTTTCAAGAGAGATCAATAAGTTCCTACTTGACTTACTAAAATATACTGTTTACTGGTTCACTAATTATCATTGATTGGAAAAATGCAGTTCTGCAGCAAAGCACTGTCTTATCTGTTGTCAGGCACAACCAAAAAGCACACGTGCACCATATGTCTGGATTGTACCAAACTGACAAGGAAGGTCTTGGGTGGTTTGTGGACTTCGGGGTATTTATTCTCCCCACACAGAAGAGATGCACATCCTAGAAAGCCTAATAAAACGTGACAAATAAATGTACAAAACACTAATTAATTGTGAGGTCTTCTTTTTGTTGTTGCAAACAACAAGGGGCAGTTTCAGTTAGTTTATTTTTTTCAGTTGCATCCCAGAAATAGTCTGGCATGATCTACCACAATGTCTTCAGTATCCGAGTAAGTTAGTTTAATTTAAAAAAAATAAATAAGAAGATAATTTTTAGAAACACACAAGACTTGTTTTCTTGATTAAATAAGAAAAACATTTTTAGAAACACACAAGACTTGCTTTCTTGATTAAATAAGGAAATCATTTTTAGAACCACACAAGACTTGTATTCTTGATTAACAGCCACCACAGTTTAACAGGCAAAACAGCAAGACCACCTCGATTTTTGCAGATACATATTTAAAAACACAACCTCTTAAATTGCACCTGGAAACC